CAACGAAACGCGTATCTCAAGTTTAACATATAATTTCTTCCTTGCATTCATATATATACTACTTCCACGAACAATCTATGCAAATAATATAGATGGTAATTCTGATAGATAATCCCCCAAAATTACTTAAGTCTTCGTCACTATGTATATTAAAAAGTTGATGAATAATTTTCGATAAGAAAATACCAAGAGAAAATTATTTTTCACCCAGACGTGCTACTTGACCGCGGAATTTATTAATTTCCTCGATTTCAACAGCACGCTCGTCGTTAGCATATCAGCTCAGGATACTTCTAAGCCACTTCTAGGCCGAATGGCGTTTCGCGACACATCGATAAAGATATCGAGGCCACGGGAATCGCGTGGAGACCAGCGTGTCATAGGTCCCCGATGTCATAGGTCTGCTCCACGGGTCTTAATATTATCCGAAGGACGATCGAGCCAGAGCCCTGCTAGTCGGTAAAATGAATTAGCTGCACTTGACACAGGCGGCTGCCCTAGCAGGAATTCGTAGTCAGCTTCCGTCCGCCAGACAGTCGAGCAGACTATGCAAATAACCCGTGAAACCGTGTGCACGATCACGTATATACGTGAAAGCAACGTTACCGTGCAACGGTCTTGGTGCACCACATTCTCGCATGCACGCTCGTTCACGTATGTACGCGGTGTCGCGAAAGTACCGGAACTTAGTCCCTGTCGCATGGACTTATGTGGACAAGTTGACACCTTCGATCTTTATTCCTCGAGTGCCCCATGGAGTAGCCAAATATGGTCCCAAAATGTCAGATTTGTTTATGTCAAACTAACTTCTATCGCACGTCAATATTATTATATTTATTTTTCCACATATTAAAATTATTTATTTGTAATACAGGCGAGTAATAGTAATTTAAAAAAAATGAATAGGTATGACTTGAATTAATTGTAAGTATCGTAGAAAATTTTGGAGTACATATAGGGTTTTGCGTAGTGATAAATTAAAATCTAGTAAGATTGGAGAGATACGTGAATTATAAATGCATGTGTAAGTAGAATTAGAGGTGTGTGATAGTTGATTACTCTCTTCCTTAATTTTTAATGATCGTTACTTTGATGCTGTTGAAAACAAGGCTTCCTTCGCAATCTTGTTTCCATCTACATGCTTAATTCATCAAACGGTACATTGCCTTTGTGGGCATTGTCTATCTTTTTGTTTGGCTTGCTAGTAAAATTTCTATAAATTATTTTTCTGTCAAGGGAGAATGCAGCGAAGTAAGACTGCATTCATTCTCGGGCATTTGACGTGTTTATGCGCTGCATTACAATGTATCATTCTAATGGCTAGACCTGTTATAAAGCAAGTTGTTTATTTCAAGCGTTTCAGGTCGGCTGAGATCTACAGACTAAACACTCAAAGGGTTAATGCTTGGATAATTTTATATCTTGGATAATTGTCGGGGATGCGAAGTGGAAATTATTTTCTATGAGTCGTCCAGGCAATTTACAATGTGCCTCGTGCTACTCTAATCTCCATAGCTTAAGCTGCAGTATTTTAAAAATTAAATTGTCGCGTTGAGGAAACATTCAGATATTATGCAAAATATATTTTTCACGTTGCATTAGAAATCCGAAATTTTCTTACAATTCCAACTATAAAATTCAACATACAATATTTTTTACGAATATTGTAATTAATCAGTCCAATGTTTCTAATGTCTAAATTTCAAGAATAAATTTCGAAGCCTCGCAGGAGTGACACGAAATCCATAAATCAATTATCCTAATATTTTACAACACCTATGTTATCTATATTGTTCGTGCAGCTACCTCAAATGAGAACGATAATGTCTTTCTATCTTCCAGTTTATCATCGAGTAGAACAAGCTTTCGCATTCCATCGTTTGATGTACACTTTCGACTCATACCCAGGCAAATATTTTCGTTCTTCGTGCTGTATCTTCGGCGAGGTATGCTTCTAGGCGAATAGAGTCGTGAATTCTGAATCACAGCAACGATAGATCGTGGGACGGTGGGTTGATCGAGAATTCGAGACGCGTTGTTCGTTCTGTGTGATAAGTTATCTTTCGTGAGAGAGCATGAAATAGCTGCTCTGAATGTCTGGGATAAGACAGAAGCAGAGCTGGTTTCGTTGTGATTGTCTTTCGATGTATACAGAGTGCAATGTATCTAATGTTTCTCAATTTAGTGGCAAATGGTTGATTGATAACGCGCAGGATGGATCGCGAGGAGGATGATTTATGAATGGGTTTTGTTTCAGACGTTGATTGGACAAATGATAGAAGATGTTTGGAGGTTTGTCAGATTTGAACGAGTAAATAAATTGGTCTGTATATATATCCAACATTTGACATCGTGTATTTTTTATATTAGGATGTACATTAAAATTTTCTTACAGCAGAATTACCCAAGGTCTTATCTATATACATTATACTCGGTGTATATGTATATTATAGTGTTAGTGTCAAATTCATATTTCATTTGTTATTCAAATTAGATTATAAATTGATTTTATGCTATTTAAAATGACATATTTTGATTTTCTTTTTGTAGGAAGGTATAGTTTTTAGTCCAATTAGTATCCGGTTTAGTTTATCTGATTAGTATCGTTGATTGGATTTAAAATATCCTTAACCCACATAATCAGTCTATTTTATCATTAATTTTTTCATTTCTTGTTCCTTTCCGCTTTCGTGAGTCTATTTAGAAAAAATCTAGGTGGAGGTATTAGAAAAAGAATATAACGTGTCTTTGATCTATCAATTAGACACACTTGTTATCTCAGAGGAAAAGAAAAATTTAGGACCATAACTTATAGTTGCACGCTCTAAATATGAAATCCACGGCCAATATTGTTCATACCGTCAAAGTTATTAATTCTATATTTCCTTTCTCTTCGTGATTCATCTTATATCGATAGACAACAGAGATAAGATTAATCATCATTCAGCATTCTTTTATCAGACTGTCTGTGACATGGTCGACACCAAAAATACAAGGATTGCTAAATTTTCATCTGCTTCAGAAATAGTTTCTTTTTCTTCTTTTAAGCAAAATAAATTACTATTATATAGATTTGATAACTTTCTCCTCCGTGCAAACATAACCTTTATTCACTCAAGGCCGTTTGAAGGTCATCATGAGAAAAATATTATTAGTGCAATAAAAATACCAAAAATGGTAATTTCGAATCGTCTTAGTCCAAAATTTCATTCACCTAAATTGACTTTATTAGGAGAATATGATGATAGGAGGAATTAATTAACACCGATGTAGTAATAAAAAAATTTTATTAAATTAAATTAATAAAATACAGTATAGTACAGTATATATGTATCTTTCAAATATCGTAGTGTCGCAGGAGGTTAAACAAAGCAGAAATTCTTAAATACTTTTTAGACACCGTGTACATTGCGGCAGCACGGTCACCGATGCATATCCTGCATGTAGACGTGTACTTAGGACATCTCGAGCCTGTGTACAGGAGTTGCCCGTACACAAGCCGGGATCCCGTTCGTCGGCTGCATCGGAGAAATATACGGACACGTATTCGCCGATATTATCGCCTCCTTAAGCCCATCTCACACCACGTCTCTTTTCCCAGGCGACTTCTAAATAATCAGTTCGACGGGAACGCGGTGCACGGGATCTCTTGTAACGCTCTCGCCACGAATGAGACCCGCGCTTCCCCCACTCCTCCTCCCGACGTCTCGTATCCGCTCATGCGCACTGCGAATTTTTCTTCGGACTAATTCTTCTCGCAACCGCTACTAACCGATATATTAGACGGCTAGGAAATTCGTCTCGCGAACGAAGCTCCAGGGAACGCGACTCGTGCTCGTTTGTTCAATCGCGATTCATTCGGGTCAGCCGAGAACGCTCGTTTTTCTCCCTAGTAACACGAAGATCATTTCAATCAGTCGAAATGACTGATTCCCGATCTCTTAATTAAAAATTCAGGCCGAGGATGAAGTCGCGGAATAAACGAGGTAAATGTTAGTGATGTAAGGAATCGAAGAGATACGGGAGGCTCGGGCAATGCTTCGTTTCGCAGGAAGAGGCAATCATCTCACGTTTCGCCGCTCAGTCGTCCTTTATTTCTCCTCCTCGTCGCACGGTGTTGTCTCGAGAGTTCTAAGATTTCCTGTATTTATGGCGTTGCCCTTCCAAGATTTTTCGTGATTTTTACGCCGTGGACTCAGGTAAATATTTCTTGTCCTCGTGTTACTACACCTTGTCGGACGTTTGGATGTATTTTGACGGAATAATCATCAGGTAATTGTTGATGGTCCTTCCGTTGGTGTTATAAACGGGACCTTATACTGTTTTTTGCGCCAACCTGCATGCGTTTGCGTGCACTGTGTACGCGTCGCCGGACAAACCACGACCGACCATTTTACTCGAGCAACGCGAACGAGTCTGTGCTGTTCGCAGAGCCAGAAGTTTTTCGACCATGAAACGCCAGCTCCAGCAAGCTTTTAATAACTACATTGTCCTTTCGGAAATTCTGATACGATATATTAGAGCAGCGGCTCCCAACTTGTAGTGCCCTCAGGGGTGCTTAGTTTCAGGGCTTCAGGGAAAAAGAATGGATAATGTAAAAGTATGGCGGCCATATTTGAATAATAGCATTATACACTAATAGTATTTCTGCTGTCAATGCTACTTACTTGCAGTTATAATAGGTTTGATATAATAACTTTTTTTTAAATATTAGGTGTTATTTTAGGAACATCTGTTGAAGTTTGACTTTAATCACGGTTTTGTGAAATTGGGGCATCTCTTTGTTAATTATGTCGCTCTATTAGACCTTTTAAAGTTGAAACCAAGGTCTATAAAGAAGATGTACTAGAAGGTGTAATAAAATACTTAAATATGGATCCCTGGTAAGGTTAAATGTAATTTTTCCGAGATTCAGACTGTAGCTTACCGAGTAATTATAAAAAGTGATCATTTTAATTGGAGATGAATCTATTAATGACCAAAATTTCAGTCGGTTTAATTACGAGTTAACTCTGCTTGATTATACGTTTGAAGAACATAACCTCCAAGACCTGCAGTAAAAATTTGAATAACATGAAGGAAGCCTTAATATAGTAGATTTAACGCAATGTATGCAGACTACAGTTTAGCTATTAGAAGGAATGAACATTTTTTAAGCATAGTAAGTATACTTAAAAATAATGTACTATAATTTTCTTGAATCCCAAAATTACCAAACTACCAAACAGGAAGAAGATGATCACAAGTGCCTATGAACATACACGCAATAATCAGCCAGTATCAGTTGACTCGCATACAACGCGTTAAAATCCGTATTTACCAACACAATTATCGTCACAAAAGATGACCATCTGGAATAATACTATTTCCTCTATCACCAAAGATAAATTCCTCTGTTGCCACAGGTAAACCGGATTAGTCAAACGCAATAGTCTTTCTTACTTTCTTCACAATGAATCTAAACAGATATACTCTTAACAGGGCACACGATGGGAGTAGATATGCCATCCATAATGGTCCTTCCTCACCGACAGATAACGAGACAGCTCTGTCATCGTTGTCCCGTTTTCTGTACTAGAAACGTGCGGTTTTGCGAGACCAAAGGTTCCACTGAGTCATCCGTCTGACCGTTTTTATCTCGGTGGAGTTGGTATCGGTTAAAATAACCGGAAATCCGATGGAACGGTCGGAAAGCTTCCTCGATATTCTCGCGACCATCTGATAGGACGTTTCCTGAATTTTCACCGGGGCTAGCAGATCTGGCTGTAAGTCTCTGCCCTTGAGGACTCGCCGGGGCAAATAAGGCGGCGTGCAAACGAGACGTTATTGGAGTTGCTCGCGGCCGTGTGCTTATGAGGATTCGGTACGTTGCACCGCTCAAAATAATTAGAGGATGTCGTGTCTGAAAGATGAACTAAGTGCAGGCTGAGTTGCTGTGAAATAGAACCTGAAACAGCGCTGGCTCGCGCTTTGATTCCAATTTTTTACAGCCTTTTTGCCCCTCGCTTTTTGGCCTTTTTCTTTCTAATGACACGCCGTGTTTCCTTCTTCAAGATCCTTTTAGTCCAGTCACCGTGTGAACGCCCGGTGAAATTTAATGATCTATGATGATACGGTCGTAGTTTTGAATTTCCCGTTTTCACGCAATTTTAATTCTAATTGAAGTAGACGTGATTCAAATTCTCCTTTTATTCGTTACTACAAGTAAAGTGTATCAGAGAAATTGTAGTCTATGGAAATTAGCGTGATTTAATTCCTGTACTTCTTTGGCTCGTTTAATTCATTCACCTCGAAACTTCGTGTTCGCAGGGTTGAGGATACAAAGCGTATTTAAAGTAGCAGTTTCACTGACGATATTAACGGATATTCCCAAGCACAAATTAGCGGCATAATAGAGAGACATAATAAACGTTTATCGATAAAAAGTGCGTTGAAATTTATAGTCCCGGTATCTGGTTAAATCGCGAGAAACAGAGACACAAAACGAAGGGGAACGAAGGGAGATTAATGCAATTTAATGATTCAATAACGGGAACAAATTTGTTCGCCGAAATTTATAACGTACTCAGACAACCTTTCGCTTCGTTTCACATGCAGCCGCATTTTTGTAGTCAAATTTACTCTTTAATCATTCGATAAATCGACCGTAATTTTTCCATCGCGAAAAACCATCATTTATTCCCATTTCGAACGTCGCGTTGGATATTTCAATTTATTTCGACATTCGTCATAATTTCCGTTTTAATTCCGTACGAGGTACACGCCAGAGGCGTCCTCTTTGCAATCACTTCCGCTTCGCGACTTCCGGTATTGGTACAGGTCGACGTCCGTGAAATTTCGTTAAGTCCCGACGTGTCTTCCGTGACTGCTCCTCAAACGATCGAATTATCGTAACGAGCATTAAATCCGGACGCGGTGGTAGAGGAACTCGAGTGTTCGTTAGTTCCTGTTCTCCGTTTCGCAGCCTTTTTGCTCGGTCAGATCGAACGAGCTCATTTTCCAATGAGAAATTCACTGTTCAAGGAACGAAACATTGCCGTCTACCACGTAATCCAGCAGCGAATATCGGGGGAGTTCTCTGGAAGAATTATCCTGTTCTCTCGAGCAAGAACAACAGAATTAGATTCGCATCTTTAAATTCTTGTCTATTCGAGATCAGCTTTTTGTTTGCCCGGATATAAAACACGTGGATCTTGTATGAGGGCGAAGAATTTGCAGGTGCTTGGTTCTAGAGGAAATTACTGGATCGAGATTTCATATACCTGATATTTTCGAGTTGATATTTCGCGTATAATAAACAGGTTTATTTGCGAGGTTTGTGAATAAATATTTGAATATGCTTTCAGTGGTGTCATGGAGCTAAAATAACTGGATACGAAGAGGAGTCTCTATAATTTGAATAGACACCCGAGGTTTAAGAGACATCTTCAGTAAATAAAATCGTATTATAATTACTCTAATAACGGAATTGCCTAGTTATGATCTCTTAAAGGAGGTATAAGCACCTCATGTTTTATACAACCAATAGAAAATGGCACATGCAGATCAGCATATAGCGAAGTATAATATGGAATATATATTATCATTAACACTGAACTAGTCAAAATAACTAGTTCCAGATTTTTCAGTTGCTTTTAACAAAATTAATTTCATTTTTCAGTAGATACTAATTTGTCTTCATCATATCACTCCAAGCTTATGTATAATATATTCCACAACATCCTTCAATTTTTATATAATAATATATAACGAGTGATAGCACATTATAAATTCTCTTTTGGTACATACAAGGTGGTTACTGAAAGACTGAATGATGCAGAAAAAAGATAACTTCTACAAGCACGTGATTTTTAAATTTTCTATTTTATTTGGAAATATAATTGATAGGTATTTTCCTCAGGAATATTTTTCATAGCATTTTCAATTTTTCAGAAGCTATCCTGTGTCCTTCCCTGTATCTTTGTCCAAGTTCTCCGACTCATCGAGCACCCTGTGTCTCAGTTTCTTCGCATATTTCACGTCACTTTTCCGCTTCCTACCACGGTGATTTCTTGGAAAGGCTGCCGTGATCACAAACGAAGTTTTCTCACGTTCATGGACAAAGTGGAATTTATGTTTGGCGACGAATGTCCCCGCTATTGTGTCAGAGTCAAAGGAAAAGCTTATATGATGCAAGAACGCGATAGAGGCCTTTGAGGGACGGAATTAGCGATGCTCGTATTTATCTGCGTACCTTAAGGGAGTACACGTGCGTTTAAAATGTCATCGATCAGGAGAACGCATTCTTGAGGCTTTCATCAGCTATCGGAGAATTTTACAGAATTTTACAGAATTTTATAGATACTCATTTCGATCCCTTTCCGTCTTCTCTTTCAAATCGCTGTAAATTGAAACGGAAACGGCCGAGATCGTCTCTCCAGGTTTCTTAGAGGAGCAAAGAACGTTTGTGAACGAGCAGTCTAGGTTTCATAGTTTCGAAGACATTTAACTCGAAAAACTGGTTTCACAGCCGCACACGTAAACTCCTAATTCGTGTCTGTGTCTAAAAATATACCGCTTAGCATCGCAATTATCAGGGACCTTGTGAATTATATTAACACGTAGCTTTTCCGTTTCGAAATGCTGGTAATAAATTTTGTTGTCGGACCCTTGGTTCTGCTAGAACGAAAGCAATCAATTAGATAAGGAAAGAGACGGAAAATCAGGCCTCGGAGCAGCTCTAGAAATTATGGTCTATTAAAATACTCCGAATAGCGCGAAAGGGTTTACAATCTCTTCGAATAATTTAGAGTCTGATATATTTAACATTTCGAAGATTCGAAACGGAGCAATGCACCCCGAGTCCTTCCAAATTCGTACAAATTTTCAAATATTTATTCGGATCTATTTCCTGCGTTCATTGGGATGTTTCGAGCTCTCGTTTGGATTAAAAATTCATTATACAGCTGACACGTTCTTCGGTTTGAATCTGTTCTTGTACTTTATCTCCTCGGACTCTTGTATTCTAGGTCTTCGTGTCTGAGATTTTAATTTTAGCTAGTTTATTGGTCCGTTGATTAATAAATGCGAGGTAAATTTCGTTTCTACTTTATTTCACAGCCTCTGGCTCTTGAAAGTAATAGAAAAATTCTTCGTAGTGGGAAATCCTCGAAACGAAAAGAAAGCGGAGTCGTATCATCAGTGAGGCGTATATGGTATCAAAGGAGATGGGACTGGCAAGGGAATTAAAAGAGAAACGCGGTTACATTATAAAAATTGCGACGCTGGGTGATACGTCTCTTGCTTTGGTATATATCACGCGCAATTAAATTTTTAGATACGGTCGTAATCGAATGTTAATAATTCTGTAATTCGTATTTTTCAGTTTTCTCAATGATGGATTATTCTTTATTTCTTATTTCTTCTCTCCTTAATTTAAAATCAATCATTGAATTAATTTATCTGTATAACAAACATATACACCTGAACTATTTTTATAATCTTGTTGGTAAGCTGTCAATTATCCAACTAATTACTTAGATAATTTAAAAAATTTCATTGTCGAAGATATAATTGCTCGATTAATTTATCTACGCCTATAGAAGATAGAAAAATATATGCTTCTACTATTATACAATTATCCAATTAATCTATTTTCATTAGAAAAATAGATAAATATAAATTTGAACAATTTTTAATACTACGATTGTACAGGGTGTCTGTTTTATCTGAACTCGATGGAACATCTCGGAAACGACAAAAGCTAGGAAAAAGATGTTCAGACAAGAATTATTTGGTGCAAAGAACGACATAACGTGGTACAGGTGTCTTCCCTATAGGACAAATGGTGACTGAGATATCAAGGTCGACTTATGTTTTCTTAATGGAATGCCATATTTTTCTACGCGTAACGAGAAAGTGTACATTAATACAATTCTAACGAGCCATTAATAGCGTGATTTCTTTCAGTGAAAAGCTGTAAAATCTTAAAATCCCCGAATCCTTCCTCCGAACCCCATATCAGATCGGAACTCTATCGAAGACAATTCCACCGACTCTCTATCTCTTCTCCATCGATTAGAGGTCTGCCTACCTGGACATCTCCCACGGAACGTTCGACAGATAAGGTGACGCTAATGCCGGAGAAATCGGTTTTCCAGCGCGCTGTTACTCGCAGATGTCGATGATGGTTCGACGTGGCACGTTACCCACAGGCCATCTCATTTATATTCCTCGAGGCATTTCTCAACCCGCGATAATATTCGCCGGTTAACATCGCGTGGCCCCTTCTTCCATCCGTCGATACGCAATTTCGTAGATTGGCGGGGTCGAGAGCGTGATTCATCGGCCGTTGTTTATCTCCAAGCCTTTATCCTAGACTGCATGTCTCTTTCCCGTAGCCTCTGACAGCGTGCAAAGCCGCAAAGATAAACTGAAGAACTGAAGAAGCCAGGTTTCGATCCGCGGATCTCTCTCTCTCAGACACTAGTCGTCTTGTGACTAGTGATACAAAATTCCACCAAAATACGCAGGTGCTTCTGACAGAATTAGTATCGATCTCTATTCCAG